GGGCTGGGGATTCGAACCCACCACCTTAGGTGTACGTGGCTGGCGCCTTAGCCGGTTGAGCTGTAGGCGCCGAGCCTAGTCTCAAACTCTTGAGCTCAAGCTATTCTCCCACCTCAGCCACCCAGTGTGCTAGGATTACAGTCATGAGCTACTGCACCCAGCCCATTTTAACTGTGTTTATTTAAGCTTACGGTTCAGGGGCATTCAATACATTCACATTATTGTGCAATAGTCACCACCATTGACTGGATGAGGTGTCACACCAGTAATCCCAGCACTCTAGGAGCTGAGGCAGGTGGATGGCTTGAGCTCATGAGTTCAAGACCAGCCTGAGAAAGAGGGAAACCCATCTCTAAAAATAGCCAGGCGTTGTGACAGGTGCCTATAGTCCTAAGCTACTCAGGAGGCTGAAGCAAAAGGATCGCCTGAGCCCAAGAGTTTGAGATTGCTGTGAGCTATGACGCCACAATACTTTACCAGGGGCAAGAAAATGAGACTCAAAAATATAAAACAAATCAATCACCCCCGTTGTCTCCAGAACTTTTTCATCATCCCAAGTGGAAACTCTGTCCTTATTAAACAATAGCTCCCATTCACCCCCTCCTTCCAGCCCCAGGTAACCCCCATTCTACTTTCTGTTTCTACAGTTTGCTTCTTCTCAGTACCTCATTTTTTGTTTTATTTTGAGACAGTCTTACTATGTCACCCTCGGTGGAGCACTGTGGCATCACAGCTAACAGCAACCTCAAACTCTTAGGCTTAAGCAATTCTCTTTCCTCAGCCTCCCAAGTAGCTGGGTCTACAGGCACCAGCCACAACGCCTGGCTATTTTTTTGTTGCAGTTGTCATTGTTGTTTAGCAGGCCCAGGCCATGTTCAAACCTGCCAGCTTCGGTGTATGCCCTACTCAATTGAGCTATGGGTGCTGAACCAGACCATAACTTCTTTTTTATTTTTTTTGAGACAGAGCCTCAAGCTGTCACCCTGGGTAGAGTGCTCCAGCATCACAGCTCACAGCAACCTCCAACTCTTGGGCTCAAGTGAGCCTCCTGCCTCCTCCTCCCAAGTAGCTGGGACCACAGGCGCCCGCCACAACGCCCGACTATTTTTTGGTTGTAGCTGTCATTGTTGTTTGGCGGGCCCGGGCTGGATTCAAACCCACAACCTTAGGTGTATGTGGCTGGCACCTTAGC